GCTATAGCAGGTTAAATCCTAGATGTGAACGCTTTCAACAAGTTTGTTACCTACATGTGTACAAAAAAAAAATAGTTACCCAAATATGAACAAAACGAAAATTAAAAATTAAATTACATGAATGGTCCCTGTGGTTTGGGGGACTTTGTGGTTTTCGTCGCTAATTTATATTTTTAACTTAAATGGTCCCTACTGTTTATTTTTGTTGCGCGTTTGGTCCCCGTCTTACCTAAAAATACTATTGTGCCCTTATTAATTTATTTTTTAAATTAATTTTATTATCTATGTATTTATTTTTTACATATTTAAAAAAATTAATAGACCACATATATTTGTATCTCCTCGGATGATCTCTACTGTTTATTTTTAATTAATTTTTTTTAACTCGGATGATCCTTACTGTTATTTTTGTTACGCGTTTGATCTCTGTGTTATCTAAAAATAGTATTTTTCCCTTATTAATTTTTTTAATTAATTTTCTTATTTATGTATTTATTATTTATAAAAAAAATTAATATACCCCACATATATGTATCTCATCACCGTAAACCTGAAACCACATTTGAGAAATTTAATTTGAGTCTTACCATTCACCATCTCATCTCTGATCCTCTCAATCTTCTATTTCTTTTCCATCTTTAGTAACATCGACGTCTGCACCGTCTTTTTTTTTGTACTTCAACTCTGACGAACCAACACCATAACCTATTGTCTCTTCATCTTTAGTGGGTTGTGGTGTTGATTCGACGGAGTTGAAGGACCGAAAAAAGAAGTGATGATGAAGACGTCGATATCACTAAAGATGAAAAATAAATAGAAGTTGAGAATGATGAAAGATGGAATGGTGAGGGGATACAGATATGTGAGGTCTACTAATTTTTCTTAAACATATAAAGCATAAGTACATAAACAAGAAAACTAATTAAAAAAAATAATAAGGGGACAATAGTCTTTTTAGGTAAGACAGAGACCAAGTTCGTAACAAAATTAAATAGTAGGGACCATCCGAGTTAAAAAAAATTAAATTAATTAAAAAATAAATACTAGGGATCATCCGATGAGATACAAATATGTGTGATCTATTAATTTTTATAAATATATAAAAAATAAATACATAGATAAGAAAATTAATTAAAAAAAATAAACTAATAAGGGCACAATAGTATTTTTAGGTAAGACGGGGACCAAACGCGCAACAAAAATAAACAATAGGGACCATTTAAGTTAAAAAAATAAGTTAGCGACCAAAACTACAAATTCCCCCAAACCACAGGGACCATTCATGTAATTTAATTTTTACTTTTCGTTTTGTTCATATTTGGGTAACTATTTTTCTTGTACACATCTAGGTAACAAACTTGTTGAAATCGTTCACATCTAGGATTTAACCTGCTATAGCAGGTCATAATGGTCATATGTGAACACTTCCAAAAAGTTTGTTACCTACATATATACAAAAAAAAAAGATAGTTACCCAGATGTGAACATACCGAAAAGTTAATTACCTTGATAAGTCATCTTCCCATGAAAATATAAAAAATAAGAAAATGGTTTTTTACTTTTATTTTTATTTTTAACTTTAAAGGTAAATTACACTAATGGTCCATGTGGTTTCGGGTGATCTGTGCGGTTGGTCCCCTAACCTTTTTTTAACTAGGATGATCCTTATTGTTTGGTTTTATTGTATCTTTGGTCCTATCACTTTTTAAAAAACGGCTTTGCCATTATTGGGCTATTTTGTATAATTAAACTCATTTTTTAATACTTAATGTGGGACTAGCCCACTTGGTAAAGGTTTTGTCTCTTATATTGCAGGTCTCGAGTTCTAATCTATTGACGATTTTGTAATACTAACTTCTAACCACTAACCCCACCGTTTAAAAAAAAATTAATAATAATTTGTTATTTTATTATTTATAATATTATTATTATTACTAAAAGTTGATAAAAGATATGTGGACTACCTTTTCCTCCAATCAGGCCACCCCTCAACGTTCTACTTTAGGTCCTCCACCACCTAAGCCCCAACAACCCCTCTTTCTTCTTCGGTAAGTTCGTCGACAAACCATCACCAACCCTTTTTTCTGAAGCAAATCACCGGAAAATCAAGGCAATAACCAAGTCTTAAGCAAATTACCATCAAATTTGAATCAAATCGGGAAATTAACCACCACATATGAACCAAACCTTAAGAAAACCAACTAAAACCACATTTGAAGCAAACATCGAAGTAAGTAGGAAAAGAAACCAACAAATCTGAAGCAAATTCGGAAATCAAACCTAAAGGAAATCATCGGAGAAATCAGATTTGGAAAACCTTTACATAAACCCAGGGTCGGTCCAAACGTATATGGGGCCTGGGGCGAAAAGAAAAAAAGGGTCCCTTACAGACAAATATAATGAAGATTAAAAAAAATATCATTTATTCTTCACTATAAACACATTCAATTAGCAATAACAAGCAAATCAAATTGTTTATCTTTTGACCTAGTTTGAGTATGAACCAAATTTAGGCCTTAAAAATCATTTAGGTAATATTTTATATATATATATATATATATATATATATATATATATATATATATACACTACATAGCCAAGGAATTTTGGGCCCCCGAGAGGCGTGGGTCCTGGGCGGTCGCCCGGGTTGCCCACCATCTGGACCGGCCCTGCATAAACCAGATCGTCAGAGATGGTGGAGGAAGTTGGAGAAAGCAGGGAGTTCGGCGGGGTGTATTGTACTTCAACTTCACCGGAAAAGGCCAGTTCCATTAGAGGGACGTCTTTCAAGGCGATGGTGCAAGTGGTTCATGACAACTTAGATAGGCGAGGGAGAAAAACGTTGATGGCACCTGCCAGCGAGATCGACAACTCTGGCGAAAGCTTTGACGACGAGAGGGTGAAGGAAGGTGGAAGATTTCCAGTTTCAATGGGAAAAAGAAAAGGCATTATGGTTGAATGTGTTTGAATTAAGAGATAAAGAACTTGATACATTTTTTATTATAATAGAGAAATAATTATTAAAAACAATTTAAAATATAAAAAAAAAATTATCAGTAAGGGCAAAACGGTCTTTTTAAAATTGATAGGGACCAAAGACAAAATAAAACCAAACAATAAGGACTACTGAGTTAAAAAAAAAAAAAATAAGGACCAATCATGTAGATTACCCGAAAGCATAGAGACAATTTGTGTAATTTACTCTAACTTTAAATAGAGATTAGAGCCAGGCCCATTTGGGAGCCCACTTTAGTATTTGATGTTTTCGTAGCCGTTAATGACCATTTCTCAGCCGTTAATGACCATTTCTAAGCCATTACAATTTTTGCAGCCCATTTATAGGTGGAATCTACGAAATAAATGGGGCTATTTTAGTGATTAGTCTATTTTTTTCGTTTTTTTTTTCTTTTAAATTCAATCTAATTTTATTTTTATTTTTTGAACAGCCTTCAATCTAATTTATTACCATATCAAAGTTTAGTAAGGGTGTCAATTTATGACACGACACGACAAAAATACACGAAACGAAACGAAATCGGGACGAAATCAAAATTCGAATTCGTGTTCGTGTCGTTTTCGTGTCAAGATTAAAAAACACGATGTCGTGTCGTGTCGTGTTCGTGTTCATAAATCGACACGGAATTGACACGATTAAGCATGTGGTTGTCGTGTTTTTCGTGTTTGTCGTTTTTGTCGTGTTATATATCTATAAGTATGAACGAAATACACTAATAGTTATGCAATATTATCTTTGTCGTGTCGTGTCGTGTTGTTGTGTTTTAATTGGTTCGTTTTCGTGTTAATGAAAAAAAACACGACATCGTGTCGTGTCGTGTTCGTGTTATACAAAACCTTGTCGTGTCGTGTCGTGTCAAACAAAAACACGACACGATTGCCCGATTTGACAGCCCTAAAGTTTAGATACAAATAAAAGGAAGCCCACAATGAAAAAAGTCCATCAGGTTGACTGGAGACGGTGATGGATCATGGAACCAACAAGAGCCAAGGAAAGAGACAAGTGATGCATTCTATAACCACAAATATATACATATACTAGTTTATAACCCGTGAAACCATGACTACAAAATTAATTAAATTTTAATAGTTAGAATACAAAATTACTAATCAATTATAATCGTTAATTTAAATAAATATATGAAATTATATCACCTTATAATTTGTATTAATTTTATTTTAATTTTTATTCCATTGCTATTAGTTTATTACAATTAAAATGAAAATTTTAAAATTTGAAATAGATAATTAATAGGTTGACAAGTGGTATGCATTAATTAAGAATTTTAATAGGGTGACACATGACAAAAAAAGAATAAAATATGTATTAATTAGGAGGCCTAATATGATGACACATGTCAAAAGGAGATTAAAACTATTCTTTTATTAAAATAAGGATTTATTTAAAAGAAATTGAAATAAAAAAAATTTACACAGCATATGCGTACTAACACACATTTGTTGTGAAAGTGTGATGCTTTCAGTTACTTTTTAATAACTTCATAATCGTCATTTTCCTCTATTATTTACATGACTGTATCTTTATCTCCCGAATACTCAGCCTGTCGAAGAAGACAAACTAAACTACTGTAAGATTTTCATCCTTTGAATTTTAACTAATGAAAACGATATTGAAAATTTCGATATGATATGTTTGGTGAAATTAGATTTCTTATGGTTGTAATTAGAAAAAAAACTGCATCCATTAATGTAACAGATGAAACAAATCAGTCCAATCAGCATCTGATGTTCTAAACTACAAAGAAGTAAAGGTTCATTTTTAGGATTACTAGGAGATGATTGTAAATCAAGTCCACTGTTTGTCTGTGGATAGATAATTTCTTTTTAGGGGAAATGGCGTTTTTAATATATGGTGTATTCTTATCTTTTTACAAAGTTTAAACTTTCTCTTTGGTTTCTGTCTGAATTCAGTTCAACTGTAGATATTTACTTGGGGTATTCTGTAAGAAGAATTTGAAGAAACTATGGCTCATGAGCAACAAAGAGCTGCTGTTGGGGACTCAAACGGATGGAATTTAGATGGAATTGCATTTTTGGACAATGAGATGCTCCCTCCATCACTTGTTCGGATTAGGCCTATTCTTTGTGTTGCCAATGAAATTGAGTGGGTCAATCCCAGGGTTGCCTACCTTTGTAAGTCCCCATTCCATATTAGCACAATAAAGGTAAAAGCTTTGAAAATGTTTGATATGAACTATACAACAAGTAAAAGACATAGAACAGCTAGGGTTTCGTATTATTATCAAAATGAGAAGTACAATTACAATGAAAAGGAAAAACATAACTAATTAGGATTTCGTAGCTAATGGGCCAACATAATACCCAATATAAAATAAAACCCAAAATCTTGTTATGCTAATATTTGAGACAAAACACTTGTTATTTGTAACGAGCCTAGAGCCACAACCAAGTCATTTTATTTAATTAAGGCACTACAGCGATTCAAAGAAATATGATTTGGAATGAATTCTTGCAAATGACATGTTTAGTGATAATTATTAAAAATGGTGATCTCATTTGATAAATTGTATGACAACCAATATTAATTAGTTGTATAAATGTTATGGTTGAACTTTGAACTTCCTAGCAAATTTCACCACCACTGATAGCAATGAAGTGTCTACTATATGTGAGTGTTTCTAACAATTAGAGAGAGAATATTATGGTGTAATGTATTGTATTTTATCATTGTTATTAGAAGATTTAACAAACATAGCAGATTCAGGTGGATTTGAAAAATTGATTTGAACTTCTTTATGTTTTTCAACACTTAAGGCCATAGAGTAAGCTTTGTGAATAGAAGGAAGGGGATCAAGTACTAAGATCTGATTTCTGAGACTTTCAAAACTGTCATTCAGTCCCATAAGGAATTGCATCAATCGAGTGGATGAAGTAAAATCAGCCATAGCCTTTGCAGATCCACAATTACACATCGGTAATTGTATAAGACAATTAAGTTGATCCCATAGTTGTTTCAATTTTGTGTAATACTTAGAAACAAAAGAGTCACCTTGATTTATGGATGCAATTTGTCTTTGAAGTTGATAGATGAGTGGACCATTGCTTTCAGAGAAGTGTTCTTCTAATTCATTCCATAATTCTCGAGCAGTAGTAGCGAATATGAAAGCACCTACAATTTCTTTGGAAATTGCATTTAGTAACCATGATCGAACCATGCAGTCATTACTGGTCCAATCATCGAGTTCAGATCCAGGATTATCTGGTTTCTTTGAAGTTCCATCGATGAATCCAACCTTTGTTCTTTGCTCCTAGAGAAAATTAACACTATGATGGAAAATATTGGGAGTATTTTTGCATAAATGGGCTTGGTATATAAACCTTTTGCAAAACTAAGGTCACTTTTTGTGTAGCTCCCTTGTAACAACCGACTTTTTGTATTTGTAATTTTAACCTATAAAATTTACAAGTTTAATCCTCGAATTTGTATCAAAGTTTTTGTTTATATCATTTTATTTATAAACATTTTACTTTTGCACCCTTATCATAAAGGGGTATCAAATTATGACACGACACGACAAAAATACATGAAACGAAACGAAATTGGGACGCAATCAAAATTCGAATTCGTGTTCTTATCAAGATTAAAAAACACGATGTCGTGTCGTGTTCTGTTCGTGTTCATAAATCGACACGAAATTAACATGATTAAGCATGTGGTTGTCGGGTTTTTCGTGTTTGTCGTTTTTATCGTGTTATATATCTTTAAGTATGAATGAAATACACTAATAGTTATGTAATATTATCTTTTTCGTGTCGTGTCGTGTTGTCGTATTTTAATTGGTTCGTTTTTGTGTTAATGAAAAAAACACGACATCGTGTCGTGTCATGTTCGTGTTATACAAAACCTTATCGTGTCGTGTCAGACAAAAACACAACACGACTGCCCGATTTAACAGCCCTATCATATTTACGTAGATTATTTTTTCTATTGAAAATATATTATTGGAATTAATGTCGTTAGGGATAAGAATCCACGTACACAAAACATTCAAACGATTAAAGATGAGAAGAAAATAGGGAAATACAAAATTTTATGTCGTTAGAGATATTAATTTATTAATTGTATTACAGGATCCTATGTTTAGTCTATAACTAGGAGTCTAGGAGGTCAAATTATGTTTAGTCTATAACTAGGAGTCTAGGAGGTCAAATTTTTGTGTGGTTTTAAACAGTGCCACTGCATCCCATATTACATTAATTCTCAAAGATTTACTTTTGAACTCCCTCTTTGTAATCTATTCAGGAAGAAGAAACAACTTTAATTGGAGTACAAAAACGCAGTGATCGTGATGAAATTATGGCCTTTTATCAGTATTATTGTGAAAAGTACATTCAAGGCTTGCAAAATGCTGATAAAACTGATAGGTAAACATCTTCATGGTTGTGTGACTTCTTTTCACTTTGCGCATACTGATTGCAGAAATTTACAGTAATGTATGTACCCGTCTTACAAAAGCTTATGAAAGTGCTGCTGTTCTTTTTGAGGTTTTGGAGACTATGTGCCCTAGGAGTAAGTTGTCCCCTGAGGTATGGGAATTACACGAACTGGTTATTGAATACATTCATTTGACAATTCGTTATATTTGTTGATGCAATCTTGGTGAATTATTACCGTGTACGTGTGCATAGATACGGGAATTACACAAACAGGTTATTGAGAAAGCAGCACTGCATATTCATAATATTCATCCACTTGACACTGAAACTTCAGATCAACAGCTGGTAAGACATCCGGAGGTTTCTTATTTAAATCATGTATATATGTATATTGTTATTAATTACTCTACATCATGTCCCATGTATATGAAACAGCCAAACCACCCCAAAATCCCCTTCCAAGCTATAAAAGATTGTACCCAAGACTTCAAAGAACGAAATTGCATCGGGAAGGGTGGATTCGGAAGGGTCTACAAGGGAATCCTCACCTGGGGGGATTATGTAAACCAGCTAGTTGCTGTAAAACGGCTAGATGTCACCGGGTTTCAAGGTAACAAGGAGTTCCACACTGAGCTCACAATGCTTTCACAGTTTCAGCATGAAAACATTATAACCCTAATAGGGTTTTGTGATGTTAACAAAGAAATGATCCTGGTTTATGAATACGCAAGCCATGGAAGCCTCGACAAGTATTTACATGACCCTACTATGTCATGTGAACTCTCATGGCCACAACTGCTCAAAATATGTGTTGGTGTTGCTTCTGCATTGGACTATCTTCATAATCACGTGGCAGAAAAACATAGAATAATACACCGTGATATAAAAAGCGCAAATATTTTGTTGGATGAGAATTGGAATGCAAAACTTTCGGATTTTGGGTTGGCTAGGATAGGACTAGCAAACCAAAGTAACAGCGTAGTGATCACTAACCTTGCTGGAACGCATGGTTATTGCGACCCACAATACGAAAGAACAGGTCTTTTAACAAAAGAATCGGATGTATATTCCTTCGGTGTGGTTTTGTTTGAAGTTTTGTGTGGAAGGTTGGCGTGTGTCATGAATTACCATGATGAGCGGCGATTCCTCCATCATTTGGCCCGAACTAGCTACATAAATGGAGAACTGGATAAGATTATTGATCATAGAATAAAGAAAGATATTAAACCAAGAGCATTGCACAAGTTTTCAGCTATTGCGTATCAATGCTTGCAAGAAACTTGAGAAGAACGACCTGCGTTTTCTGAGGTTGTATTCCAACTTAAGGAGGCCATGAAAATTCAAGTAAGTTTCACTACCGTTTTTATCAATTCCATCAATATGGACATGTTCTGAGGCGAACATAATATTATCTACATAGAAGTGCATGATTTAGTGATACATCACTTATTTTTATTCATTATTAGTTAGAAGATGAGATCCTCTAAGATGAAGCAACTATTCAGGATGACACGTCCTCCATGACTTGCAAATGTCGTTCTTCAGGGATTTAGACCAGGAACAAGACATTTTACCTCACCTTATGAGATGATCATCTTCTTGATTGATGACTTCTCTCCTTGTTTTTCTTCATTTTGATTCTTTAGTTGTTGCTTAATTATGTTTTCTTTTATTTTCTTCTTGTACAGCTCCTTCGTAAAATTTTCTCATTATCAAACGTGTTTTTATCTAAAATGAAACATTTCACATCACAAGTGTAAACATTCAATAAGAGCATTGGGTTATTTTTTGGTGATTGCATATTTGAACCTCAACTAAATGACTAGAATACTAAATCAAACGCATTATCTGTATAGTGTTTACCCCTTCAACAATGTGGGATATTCATGTGGAAGCTAGCGGTGCTTGAATTTGACATAGTCAATGTCGATATCAAAATTTGCTACAACAGATATGAGATTTCCCTCTTCCTTGGTGTGATGAAGCAATAAACGGTGACCTAGTGAAGAATCAAGCAATTTCTCATCAAATTCTATCTTAAAGTGCAATATATCAACATAAGATGAAAGGGGATGAGGGAATGACGAGATTGAGTTCCACAAGGAAATTCTAGGGTTAGAGTTTGAAGTTCAAGTGAGAGATTGAAGTCATCAGCAAGGATTGAGCGCATTTGAGATATAAATCTCATCTTATAAACTCCATTTTCGAGTTAGGGTTTTCAGTAAAATGTCAAATCCAATTTTAGCATGTTTTGATGCTTAGGGTTTTGTTTTCTTAACGTTCCTTGAGTGGTGTATATCGCTCTAAGCTCAATTCTATCACTCACTTGATGGATTTGATGTTTGGTAAACATCTATCCATGAACCCTAGAATCTTAAATTAAGGATTGTGAGTTGTTAAGTTATTAAAATGGTTCTATGATTATATGTGAAGTTTTGCTGCTATAAATTCATATTGGATGCACAAACTCAATAAATGAGAGAATTAATGTTGGGATGATTGGAATCAGGGGCGGATTTAGGGGGGTTCCGGGGTGGCACCGGCAACCCCTAAATTTACGGCTGCAGTGGAAAAATTTTCGAAATTTTTTAAAATTTTTATTTTTTCTACTATCGTGCAACCCCTAATCTTCTTGTGCAACCCCTACTATGAAATCTTGCGTCCGCCCTTGATTGGAATTAAGAATTTGTGGTTTATTTACGGACTTCTATATAGATTTAAACATCTAAGTGTGCAAATAATCATGAATTGATAAATTTATTATGATTAGGATGCTTAACATGAAGGATTTATTGACCCTAAAGTGTTCTAAGGATTTGTTAACACATTAGATATGAGAGTTTAAAACCAGAATGTGTTAAGTATGGATTTCATTGTTGAATGATGTATTTCAAGGAATTTGATGGTCAATACGAGTAGTTGATATTCATAGATATTAAATTGATACTTAGCTGATGAATTTGATGCTAAAAATGAAGGATTGTCTAAGCCATAATAGATCCAAAGGATTGTTTAGCCATAAGCGAAATTTAAGAGACTATGGACTGGATTTGGTAATTCCATAGTTACATTAAGTTCCTAGAATCTTTTAGAATATGTTTTAGCATGTTGCTATGCACTTGGAAACATTTATGTGGCTATTCAATAGTTTGGAAAATTAATCATGACGGCTAAAGTGTAATCAAGGGCAACTCAAGCTCATTAACCCTTCAGTGGAAGAGAGGGGGGGGGGGGGTTGGTCAAAAATCCAGATTTTACATATAAGGAATAAGAAAAATCACAATCAACAAAATGAATTTTCAATACCAAAGATAGTAATTGTTTATTGAAAATGTTGAAACAATAAATAGAAGATCGATAGATTCTAACAAGTATAATCAACAAAACAATAAGAACAATGAAGATTAAAATGGTGCCGAATGATTAAATTCAATAGCCTTAAAAGAGTTCAACAATAACTTCTATGTAAAGACTATGTAGAGCAACACACTTCGTTAACCCTAAAAATGGTGCATGCATGCACTATAAATAGTTTAACCCTAATGTCATTAAATCTTGGCGTTGGACAGACCCAGCCCATTACAAATGGACTATTCTAGTACAATACAATTGATACAACATTATTTATCCAAGCAATCTCCCCATTTGTGTCAATTAAGAATGTAGATTCTTCAGTGTTACTGGCATTTATGAACTTTGAACAACTTCGACATTAATCCAAGCAAAGTTTTGTGAACCAAGATATACCATTAGATCATATAAGTGAAGCACTTCTTATCTGAAGCATCGTTGTCTTTGCATTGTTTAGTAATTCCCAAAACGTAGATTAGACAGGAAGTAGAATAAAGATGCTTGTCTAGTAAGGAAAACAAGAACTTCTGAACATTTACACCTTCTCTATCTCTTTGTTGAAATGCCACACTCCAATTATCCTTTTGGATTTTTCCAAACTTCATTTTGTTGATGTCCTTTGGAGCTTTCTTTGGTTACACAATGGGTTTCTTTCGGAGTACACCTGTAATCTCTATATCCATTTTGCCAATCTCTTGAATGTAGGAGACCAACATCCTTTTCAGATGCGCCACAATGGGTTCGAATTTTTGTTCATCTTTAGCTTTCTCAATCTTTTCAAAACAGCAAAATAGAAAGGCCTTCGGAGTGATCGGGAAATCAAGATGAGATTCTGAATGGTTTTCCAATTCAAACGAAACAACTGGCCCCAACCAGTAAACATTCGGATTGTCAATGGCCTCGTTCGTAATCCATTTCATAGACCAAGGAGGGAAAAGGGCCTTTCGTGTTTTGAGAGTGATAGGTGCATCACGAGCCTCCTTTTCAGTTGCTTCAGCTTCCTTTGCAACACACTAAGCTTCATCAATCTCTTTGACACGTTTCTTTCTTTTGAGTTGTGCCTCTTTAGATAAATCTTCTTCTCATCACCATCTTCAACCAGTTTTCCTTTTCCTTTTGATCCAAAAGCTTCATTACCCAACAAATCGTTTTTTTCATTAGAATCATCAGTTGTTTTCTCGGGTTCTTCACCAGAAGTCTTCTTTGGTTCTCCCCTTATTTTGGAAGAGCAATTGATTCTGAAACACCTTCAACACAACTAAGCATCGAGAAGACTGGTTTGGGTTTTTCAGCAAGATGTTGTCGTACCGAGAACATAAGCAACGAGTCACGAGTCTTTACAATATTTTTCAAGTAAAGATTTAGATCTGCTACACAGCTTTCGATAACAGCCTTTTCAGAGTTGAGATCATCAATTTGTTTGTTGGCATGAGACAGCTTCACAGAAAGGACATTGGTTTTCTCAGTCTTGACAACAAGCTGATCCATGATTTTCTTTTCTGTAGTAAGATCCTACTGTAGCTTCTCAATCTTGGAGTCTATTGAGGCATTTAATTCGACATTATCAACTCGCAAGTCTGAACGAACCATCGAGAGAGCCTCTTTCTCAGTTTGAAGAGTTGTGCCAAGACTCGTAATCACCTTATTCGCAGCTTTAGTGTTCTTATCAGAAGAACTCTGAAAATCCTCCATAAACTGATTAACATCAGCAAATAGTTTTTCGACTTTTTTGGACATTTCACGAACTGTTTTCTCAGAGTTTTGAACAAACTTAGAGGACTCAGCGAGGGTTTTAGCATGTTCCTTGGTAAGTGTCTCGATCAGGGCTTTGAGAGACTCTGTGGAATAATCACTATTGGATGATGTGTTGGAATACCCGAGCAGAGTATCCAAATTTTCATTTAAAACCTTGAATTGCCCTTTCGTCATGGGGACCTCATCATCATCACTTAAGTGATGAATAGTGCAAGGACTGAAGTGGAAATCTTGAAAATCATCCCGATCATCACCAAAAACCATATCAGGATCATCATTCCACAAGGGAAATACTGGGAAGGAACTAAAACCAACAGTAACACCAAAAGCACTTGACCCCGTATCAGATATATTGACAGTCACTAGAGGTGAACTTGTGGTAGTGGTTGTTGATGCAGTTGAATCAGTGAATAATGGAGTGGTTTGCGCAATAGAGATCTATGATTGTGAAACACCAACCGATACATTTAGACAAGGAGCTATGGTGATAAGTGTAGAAATCGGTGTAGAAGTTGCAGTAAGAGCAAGTGGGGGAGAAGGAACATGAAAGGAATCTTATACGATAGGAATTGAAGTGGAAATGGTAGATGATACCTTCATAATAGACTGGGTGGGAATGGGTTCCAAGACCATGGGTTGCGAAGTTGCTGTAATATCTTCTGCTTCATCGTGAACTGGGTCTCGCTCTTGCAAATCTGAGTGAGTACGAGATCCGAAAGCTTCTTGAACTGGAGTTGGAGACCTAGGCTTTTGAGCAGCTTTCTTTACTTTCTTCTTCGGAGTAGCAGTAGGTTCCGAAGGTCCTACTTTCGCTTTTCTTTTACCTCCCTTTTTGGGTTTGTTACCTTCTTAAAGTGCCCTTCGAAAATTTTCAGGCATAAGGCGAAATCCTGAAGCAGGCTTCTTTCGATACTCATTAATAACAACATTATCTGCAAGAACAAAGTTGAGCATAGCCTCCAGAAGAGAACCAACAAAGTTGAACTTCATAGGATCTGGTACAATGAAATTTGAAGTATGGAAGATCGGAATCGTAGCAAGCATAGAGTCATTTGGAACTTCATTATGAAGACGAACTAGAGCACGTTCAACAATAATCGACCAAAAACAAGCGCATGAAACTTTAGAGTTCCTCGTTGTAGAGAGTGTGCTCCGAACCAATTGAGCCCAGAGGATTA